ATCAGAGGCGTTTTTTTTAACCTGAGCTCAGCCTCGCCTGGCGTCAAGGTGCATCCTCCACCTGGACTCCTGGTAGCGCCGCAGATCGAGGATGTACTGCCGGCTTGCCATCGTGTAGAGGGGGACGTGGATGCCCTTGGGGAGGAGCGGGATCTTCATGTCGGACGAGAACATCCAGTGCATGAGGGTTCGGGTCGTCCGGTTCGCCGGGTTGGGGTGTAGCATCAGGCCGGTTCCTTTGTTGATTGTCCCCCTGATTTAGTCAATGTTTTGCGAAAATTTGCAAAATTATCAGCTTTACTTATGAGGCACGGCCGTGCATTATTTTCATAGCTTACTTACTAGAATAAAATGCACTAATTTCCTAAACAGTCCAAATATTTCATAGCTATATGTGAATGTCTCTTTTGTGATTAAATTTGACTCTTTACCATGAATGCTTCTCTGACTAAAAGTGCCTTCACGTTAAAAAAATTTTGCCCCTGAGCAAGAGGCATAAATAGTTAAGAAATACGAATGATTCTCTGGCATCTTAGACCGCAACCAAATGGATTAATATATGCAAAGACTCCTGGAAGCAAGTGCCCAAAAAACAAATTCAGGGACCTGAACCAGTTAACGTACGTGGCAAAAAAAAAGGAGTGCAACCGTGTCTGTCCATTGCATTTGGACAAGTACTTTCAACGATTCCAGGTTGCTGTCTAGAAGAACAGCGGACACATGAAAAATATTTCGTGAATGGTTACTATGAGACATTGTGTCATGTCGAGATTCAATCGACTCCATTAAAAATTATTACTACAGGGAATATTAGATTTGGATAGGGCGTAAACGTTGTGTGTCTCAAGGTTGGCTAAATTTCGGTATAGGATGCTGCTGACTGAACGGTCACCAATGGCCATCAACGACCCAGAAACAGAAATCTCTCACCACAACTGACATTTCCACGATACCTTGGTTTTTGTAACCCGGAAGTAACACGTAGTGCTTTTTGCCATGGAAGCATGTCCGCAACAGCGCTTTTAAAGTATTGCTTAGACGAGACACGAACATCGCCACATAGCCACGAAAGTCAGATGGTCCGATGAATGGGCTCGGTAGCGCCTACTACATTTCTTCAACCCCTTCAGGGTACAAAATTCAACCGTCTCGTATACTTCTCTGAGAGCATCGACGTGAATGAAATTTGGCGTACTTCTTCCTCTCTCAACACAAAATCGCAACAGCAAATTTCAAGCTCCATTTCCCCGGAATGTGAAGATCATTGAATCTAGCTTTCGGGAACTGTGAATGTCGTTCCGGTATTTCACCCCCCTGGGAGCCGCTCCAGGAAAGTTCTTGGAGGAAAGAGACTAACCAAACGAAAGATATTGACTAGGAGGGGACAAAAAGTCTTCTTTTTTTGGTTTCAGTGCACAATTCCACCATGAAAAATGAAATTAGATGCCGTTACTTTAGGCTTAGCATAATGTGTAGAGTCCCGACCTAAAGTGCTATATTTGTTATCCCAGAATGAATAAATCTTCGACCTTTATATTACTGTCTGGATCTTCTTTTTTTCATGTAGGAGGCATTATCATGCTGAATTCATTGGAATTGCTGGGATTGAAGCAGTCGTTTGCAGAGACCGATGAATTTTGCAGAAAACGGAAATATCTCATCCAGACATCCCTCAATTAACTTTATTAACTAATTAACATCAGTTTCCATGTCATGCTTTCTAAAGGCATTTTCTTAACAGAATGAGTCGAGACGATTCCAGAAACTCTGGATGGGCCTAATGTTCCCCGACTGCACTGAAATGGCTGATGAAACTTGAAAAATATCTAAATTTGTTCTAACGTTACAAATTCTCTGTTAAATGTAATATGAGGGACTGAATTGGCCGACGGTTGCCCTAACGTTACACGTCCTCAACGGGTTGCCACGAAGACGAGGTATTTATCTTTATAGGCTCAATTGGTCCGTAGGCAGAGGATTGAATTTCTTTTTGGCGAAAAATGGTGGGTCTACGCCTGACTCTATGGCAGTCCGTTGGTTTGGCCTAGGTACACCAGGAAAGAGTGCAAGGATTTCCCTCGGTACGTGCCTTCTTGGCCTTTCCCTTTCCAAACTCGGTTAGAACCCCTTCTTGTTTTTTTCACCTATCATTATCTGATTCATTTCTCACTATTGGAAAGCTCGGCATCCCTGACACGACCTCCATGATTGCAAGTTGATGTCAGATATATGCCAACTTATGCCAAAGAATGTCAATGCCACTTTATGACAATAAAACAGAGCGATTAGATGAGAGGGTGATGGATCCAGGATGCATTTCCAGATCGTGTAGACAGACTCGCTTGTGGGCAGTGTCTCACTTAACCGCGCGACAGGACACTCGCCTCTCCCTTTCGGCATAGAGACTCGAGAGGCAAAGGACATATGACGATAGCGGAAGCTATGCTACCTTTCTTTCCGCAATGAGAACTATTGGAACTCTCCGATGAATGTGGATGAGATCAGGGAAACACCAAGGAGCACAAACATATTTATTAAAGAACCGTGTATACAGGAAATGAATGCATGAAAAAGCTGGTTCCCAACGGACTTGTCCGTGTTGAATTACGCTCATTCTTCAACCGTCTTCTCTTCTTTCTGGAATTCTGAAGTGATACATACATTTTTAAATTATAGATATATAAATCCCGTAACTGAGAAGTCCTTATTTAGTACTGGTGTACGTTTGTCTTTGAGGAACACGAGGGACCAGCTCTTCGTGTTTCTGTTGCCAAGAAAAAGTAGCCTTTTATCGTACATCTCTATCTTCTCAATAGTTTCATGCGATAGGAACTCAAACAATTTCTGCTTGGAAATGGCGAAATATATATATATATATATATATATATATATACATCTCATATTTTCCCCAAAAATTCCATTTTCTCATTCTCATTCCATTTACATATATGAGAAAATTGAAACAATTGTAATTTTCAACCATTAGGTTGTTCCTGTCCCAAAAAAGCCATTCCGATTCAGAGCTAATAGTCTCCGCAAAAAAAATTGGACTCGAGTCGGAGCGGACCGCAGTTCCACGTAGGAGGTGGACCTGAGGACCATCGCGGCGTCTAGCTCCTACATGACGGCCGAACGGTAGCACATCTCCCCCTGCAGGATGCCCTTGGGGAGGAGCGGGATCTTCATGTCGGACGAGGACATCCAGTGCATGAGGGTTCGGGTCGTCCGGTTCGCCGGGTTGGGGTGTAGCATCAGGCCGGTTCCTTTGTTGATTGTCCCCCTGATTTAGTCAGTTTTGCGAAAATTTGCAAAATTATGAGCTTTACTTATGAGGCACCGCCGTGCATTATTTTCATAGCTTACTTACTAGAATAAAATGCACTAATTTCCTAAACAGTCCAAATATTTCATAGCTATATGTGAATGTCTCTTTTGTGATTAAATTTGACTGTTTACCATGAATGCTTCTCTAACTAAAAGTGCCTTCACGTTAAAAAAAATTGTGCCCCTGAGCATGAGGTAGAAATGATCAAGAAATACGAATGATTCTCTTACAACTTTGACCACAACCAAATGTATTAATATATGCAAAGACTCCGGGAAGCAAGTGCCCAAAAAACAAATTCAGAGACCTGAACCAGCTAACGTACGTGGCAAAAAAAGGAGTGCAACCGTGTCTGTCCATTGCATTTGGACAGACACGGTTCAACCATTCAATGATTCCAGGTTGTCATCTAGAAGAACAGCGGACATATCAAAAATATTTCGTGAATGGTTACGATGAGTCCTTGTGTCATGTTCAGATTCAATCGATTCCATGACAAGTTATTACTGCAGGGAATATTTAATTTGGATAGGGTGTAAACGTTGTGAGTGTCTCAAGGGTGGCTAAATGGCAGTTATGGTTGCTGCTGACTGAACAGTCACCAATGGCCACCAACGACCCAGAAACAGAAATCTCTCACCACAACTGACATTTCCACGATACCTTGATTTTTGTAACCCGGAAGTAACACGTAGTGCTTTTTGCCATGGAAGCATGTTCGCAACAGCGCTTATAAAGTATTGCCTAGACGAGACCCGAACATCGCCACATAGCCACGAAAGTCAGATGGTCCGATGAATGGGCTCGGTAGCTCTTACTACTTTTCTTGAACCCCTTCCGGGAAAAAAATTCAACCGTCTCGTATACTTCTCTGAGAGCATCGACGTGAATGAAATTTGGCGTACTTCTTCCTCTCTCAACACAAAATCGCAACAGCAAATTTGAAGCTCCATTTCCCCGGAATGTGGAGATCATTGAATCTAGCTTTCGGGAACTATGAATGTCATTCCGGTATTTCCCTCTCTGGGAGGCGCTCAAGGAAAGTTCTTGGAGGAAAGAGACTAACCAAACGAAAGGTATTGACCAGGAGGGACAAAAAGTCTCCTTTTTTGGTTTCAGTGCACCATTCCGCCATGAAAAATGAAATTAGATGCCGTTAGTTTTGGCTGAGCATAATGGGTAAAGTCCCGACCTAAAGTGCTATATTGGTTACCCCAGAATGAATATATCTTCGACCTTAATATAGCTGTCTGGATCTTCTTTTTTTAATGTAGGAGGCATTATTGTGCTGAATTCATTGGAATAGCTGGGATTGAAGCAGTCGTTTGCAGAGACCGATGAATTTTGCGGAAAACGGAGATATATCATTCAGATATCCCTAAATTAACTTGATGCAAGCTAGTTTCCATGTCATGCTTTCTAAAGGTATTTTGTTCTCAGAATGAGTTGAGACGATTCCAGAAACTCTGGATAGCCCTAATGTTCCCGGACTGCACTGAAATGGCTCATGAAACTTGAAAAATACCTAAATTTGTTCTAACGTTACAAATTCTCTGTTTAATGTAATATGAGAGACTGAATTGGCCGACGGTTGCCCTAACGTTACACGTCCTCAACGGGGACGGTGCTTCTGCTCCATAAATAGAAATATCCGAGTTAACCAGGCATCCGTCTCCTAACTTAAAGAAAAACCGCTTTTTACCACCCAGATGCGGACTGAGATACCGTCAGGCAACCAAACCGGATCCCCTAGTGTTAGTGAGTTCTGTAGAGAACTGGTGGGATGGTGAGGTTGAAAAAAGGTAAGGCCTTTGAAAATTGGTTTTTACATTCCTACACAGTCACATAGCCACATAGCCACTTTGACGTTTCCTCACCTAACCATCTTGGTCGGCTCCATTCCCGGCCAGTCGGTGCTGAACATAACACTGGTGCGCCTGTCGCCTTCCACGTGCTCATTCCTACACAGTCACATAGCCACATAGCCACTTTGACGTTTCCTCACCTAACCATCTTCGTCGGCTCCATTCCCGGCCAGTCGGTGCTGAACATAACACTGGTGCGCCTGTCGCCTTCCATGTGCCCGTATATGAAGTAAAGTACATCCCGCATCACGGAGATTCCCAGCCCTCTCCTCTCGAGCACCTGATGCACCAACGCACACGGGTCGGCAGGCCACCGCTGTCAACAAGAGAGCCAAGAAGTTGTAAAGTGGACAAATTTGATCATCTACTCCTTAAAATCAGTTTGGCACGAAATTGAAGCCTTTTGCGAGTCTTGAATCCAACAGGAAACCAAACTATTTACTCCAAGCTATAATCCTTTCCTACAGGGTCAACCAAAAAGACCCTCTCCGACTTTTGCAGCTTAAGTCTCAGGATCAGGAGGAGGTAGAGGATTGAAGCATGACATGTTGGAAAAAAGCATTTAAAGACATTTTAAATTGAATCAACTGTTATTTCCAGTTTGACTTTGTACTTTTCCGTATAATCGCTGCTTTAAAAGTTCGAAAAAATTACGCTGCCATCCACGATTTTGCGATAGCTGCTCGCCAGGATAGGCCTAGTAGGCAGTACCTACTTCTTTTAAAATCAGAGTTTTTCCCTTGCAAGGAAAAAGCAGAATTAGATAAAGTGCTCAGAGTAGGGACGGAGTTGACAACCGTGATCAAATCTCCACGAATGCAGTTCAGGAGCGAGTAGAGGGAGACAGGGACATGAGCCGTAGTCCTGGAATGAGACGGGGTGGGCTTGCCCAGGTTGCGTAGTTACTCTTTGCGCAGGAAGATAAGGATGAGAGTCGCTTGCTCACGCCCTGGGCGCAGAAGCGCTTGCTATCTGACGCCTCAATTGTTTTCGCACCTGATTTTACTTGAATCTTTGCAATTTTCCTGTCAGATGCAGGCAATTTCCTTGATGGCTAGTACAGATTGAAATAGATTTACAATTACAGATTGCAAGAATCCTAAATTTTTATGTCAAACCTGTAGCCAAAAAGGGGGGGGGGGGGCTTCCCAACCCCCATCCCGTAAGCACCATTGCTGCCTACCCAATTCTTTCATTACGAGCAGCCTTTGCGATTAGGAAACTCATTCATTATGTTTTTCCCCTGAGAATTGCTTCTCACGTAAGGCCTTAAATTGAGGTTTCTCTAATTAATTCAAAACCATTGCGAAGCTTCAAATTTTCTGAGGTTTCATAGGCGTTGTCAAAACAGGAAATAAATACGTTGAGCGACAACGTAGCATGTAACGGAGTTCCCGAGCCGCGCCGTATGCCCGACGTCGAGAACGCCCGATAGGAAGAAGAAACAGAAAGCGCAATTGATGGTCACACCACTGCTGCAGTTGCGGTAGTATACTGTACTTATTCCAAGGGAAATGGAAAAGCGACCGATTAAAGCTTTCATCCTTTCTTTTGTCGACAATTGGGGTACCGTTTACAACTAAAGAAATAACCTTTCTCATGAGAGCATGAGTATATTTATTTATATTCAATAATACGCTAATGCATGATTGTAACCCGCTCTTTGACGATTTACTAATAGATATCCTGACATGTCATGCATCGTTCGAAAGCCTAATGTCAAGAGGGGTGCATCGAGCAATCAGATTCAAAATATCCACAACCCATGATGAGTTACGGACAATAAATATTTTCACCAATTTGGTACTCTGGTAGAGTCCTGCATAGGCCGACCCGATAGGCCCGATTCAAATCATGGCCTGCTCCGACCCGAAACTTGAATTCCAACAAAAAATTCGGCTTGACTCTACCCGACCCGAACAAAAATTAAGTTCTCTAACCTATGCTTTCCTGTGAATTTCCTTATCATTTCCAAGTTAATTTGCACAACAGGAGGTCGTCGAAAGTCGACTGATAGGAGAAAATTTATTTAAAAAGAAACGGCTATAGAGATTTCGATCTCGAGTGGCACTAAATTGTCTCATGCCTGTCTAAAGGTGTTCCTTCATTAGTATTCGTGGTCTCAATATTTAGTATTTTCATTCTCTGCGATTACATGAATGAAAACGATTTCAGTCATGGCATTTCCATGATCTCCGACCAGAAGAACAAAAACATTTGAATTTAAAAAAATTCCGCCTGACCCGACCCGATTCTAGGAAGGATTGTAAAAGAATCGGCCCTAGTGGGCCCGCGAGTCGGGTCGGGTTGGGCCATGGAACGTGCAGGATCCTAACCCCCGCTTCCTCCAGTAGCGAAAACGACTGCTGTTTTACCCACAAAAAAACTTGGAATTTTTTCTTTATTCTATGGAATGTATCACGGGACCACAGAGCGGCATTGGTTACTCAATTCTGGAAAGTAGTAGCAATGTGGGTAACTCACGTTTGTGTGTTTACATGTATATTTGAGTGACCAGTAACTCGGTTTCCGATTCAAACTTCAACTAAGGATGCGAACGGGAGAACTAGGGCACGAGAGAAAACCTACTATAGGATAGTCAGTGCGGTTTCGGATCACAAAGAGCATTATAATTATGGAGTACTTCAACGGCCTCGCTCCAACGGGTCTCGCTCCCCAAAAGTTGACTTGAAACCGTAATATAATCGCATGGTCGTCAGAAACCTGGATGGCAAGGCCCAACGATGCCTCTCGACATCAAACGGCGACGGTTTCCTGGCTGTATTGCTTTCATATCCAAAGACGAACATTCGAACGATTCGATTTTGCTTCCCCGAGCCTGAATTTTTCAAATTAGTATAGTGTGCACGACTTTCTCGAAGGCGAAGAATGAGTCCCCCCTGATAAGGCCAATATCCTGGCAATGATGGCATGAATGAGAAAATTTCGCGCTCCGAGAAGGTTTCAACTGAAAATACTGTCAATTTCTAGAAATTCCTAACTATTTTACCCGTTCTTTGATGAGATCCAAGACACGATTTTCTACAGCTACCATTCTATGGTGAAATTCCAAACATCTCTCTTAAGATCATAAACCAACAGGATTTTTAGTATTTGGCGAAAATATGTATATGTAATATATGTATATAAAATGTATAAAAATATGTATATAAAAGAAAATATGTATATAAAATATGAAGTATGGCGAAATTTGCAAACCTCTAAATTCCAATTTCGCGATATATGCGCGGTGTTCAGCGTCTAAAATGCAAGCTGAGAAAAAGATGTACCTTTTTTGGCACTCTCAGTATCTCCTTGTCGTGAAATCAGAATTTATCCCTAACATAGAAATTATGAAATAAGTATTAGGTTGTTTCACATGAAATGTCCGATTTTTCTCAAAACAGGCAATCCTCGACACGAGGATGCGACTTACGACACTTTGACTCTCTAAGCCTAGGGCTGAAGGAGTCATTGACACGTAGGCCTGAGGCCTCCCCCGTATTACCGTCATATGTCGAGGACTGCCTGTACAATATTCCTCGACACGAGGATGCGACTTACGACACTTTGACTCTCTAAGCCTAGGGCTGAAGGAGTCATTGACACGTAGGCCTGAGGCCTCCCCCGTATTACCGTCATATGTCGAGGACTGCCTGTACAATATGATGTCTTCAAAAGAATCGAGACTACTTTTTTTGTACGAGTTCAAATTGGGGCACAACGCAGCTGTAGCCGCGAGTAACATCGACTTGGCGTTCAGGAAAGGGACTGCTAACCAGCGGACTATTCGGCGGTGGTTTGAAAAATTTCGATCTGGAGACATGAATCTCGAAAATGAGCCCCGAGGAAGGCCCGAATCTGTTGCGAATGAAGAACATTTAAGAGCCATCGTGGAAGCTAACCCACAAACGACAGTTCGGGCTCTTGCAATAGACCTAGGTGTTTCTATTGCATAGGAAGGCCTGAATCTGTTGTGAATGAAGAACATTTAAAAGCCATCGTTGAAGCTAACCCACAAACGACAGTTCGGGCTCTTGCAATAGACCTAGGTGTTTCTATTGCAACTGTCTCTCGACACCTGGCTGCAATAGGAAATGTGAAAAAATTGGAGAAATGGGTGCCGCACGAATTGACGGACGGCCAGAAACTGCGACGCCTGGAGGTGTGTTCAGCGCTGATGGTCAGGAACAACAAAGAGCCATTCTTGGAGCGAATCATTACCTGCGACGAGAAATGGATCCTGTACAATAACGGGAAAAGAAGTGGACGATGGTTGAATGCTGGTGAAGCTCCAAGACATGCACCAAAACCGCCATTGCACCAAAAAAAGGGGATGGTGACAGTATGGTGGTCTGCAAAGGGAATCGTACACTATTCTTTTTTGCAACCGGAACAATCAATTACAGCAGAATCATATTGTCAGCAAATTGAAAGCATACATCAAAAATTGACCACCGAACAGCCAATATTGATAAACAGACAAGGACCGATTCTGCTGCACGACAATGCTCGACCCCACACGTCACGACCCCCGTGGGAAAATTAACAGAATTGGGCTATGAAATTTTGCAGCATCCACCATACTCACCTGACCTTTCACCAACGGATTATCACCTTTATCGTCACTTGGAGCTGTTTCTCCGGAGTAAAACATTCCGGGACCGAGAGGCTGTAATTGGAGCATTTGAGGAGTTTGTTAATTCAAAAAATGTAGAACTTTATAGAAATGGAATATTTTCCTTAGTATCCCTTTGGGAGAAGACAATTCAAGCAAATGGAGCATATTTTGATTAAATGAAATTTTATTTGTTAAAAATATAGCCTTTTAAATCTCATCTTCAAAATCGGACATTTCATGTGAAACAACCTAATATAATTAGAAATTAGTACAATAACAATTGTACATAGGTACAATTACAAATGGGAAATATAGTATGACATTAATATGAATACTTATCTAAGGAAATGGGAATTGCGAGTAGCTGTTTCACTGTTGTTGCAATGAGATCGAACTGCAATGCCAGTTGATGGAAGTAACATCCAAATCGAGGAATCTGTTTCGTTCGCAAATAGATATTGCGCGATGCGTCTTGAAACGCCGTGGAAAGTCCCTCTGCAAAATCGACGAACTGGAAGAACTCATAGGACTCGTCCATTCCGATCACTCCCAGCCCCGAATATAAAAAAATTAAACCCCGAAGATGAATGCGCCATTACCGTGTCGACCATTTCTTAGATACTTAATAAAGGAACGACACGAACCCCTCAACCTCCCAAGAGACACAATTCGGACGAACCCGAACGACCGTGAGCTCCTTGCAGTCGGAGGACCATTCGGCGGTGGCGTCCAGCGAGTGTTCCAGCATGTCTTGGGCCAGCCAGTCGTTCTCGAAGTCAAATGTGGCCTGCAACGGAAGTGAGGACATGCGGAAAGGGCGGAATAAAGGGTTCGATTGCACGGAGTGCAATCGAACCCATTATTCTTTCATTTCGACAGTGTGGAATCTACAGGGTTGTCACGAAATTTAATGGGATTTTTTAAACAGAAATAAACGTTTTGCAAAATTTCCCAAAAGTACTATTTTGTAGTATTTATATTACTCTTTCCACTGAAAAAAAGTGATTTTAAAACCGACATTTTGTTTCTTTTATGAAAGCAAAAAGAGAAGCCATGAAGTTTTTGCACGACTGGAAAATGCGAATTGGAGAGATTTCTCGACGACTGAATGCGCCGGATTCGACGTTCAGGGAAGAGATGAAGTGCTACGAGGAGCGAGGTACTTCGTCGGTTCGCCCTCGCAGCGGACGCCCTCGCACTGCGACTGACGCTGCTCATCGAGATAACGTCCGTCGAATGTTCGAGAGGAATCCCCGCTGGGGAAATGAGGTGGAAATTTCGCAAGGAAACAACCGCTTGCACCGTTCGAGTCTTGTCGCCTTTATTGCCTCAGTCAATAATTTCCCCGTTTGCAGCTTGTATTCCTTGAGTCCAAGGTTTGTTTTAGGGAATTTTCAACCAAGACCCCACCAAAAATTGCAGCCTTTTTATGCTAATTTGTCATAAATAATATAGTCAAATGCATTTCGTATATTACACAGATTACTCCAGATGCCACGTCCGACTTCGTCGACAGACCCACATGCATATGTGTCTTGACAGAATTCTTCCATTTGAAGTGCATTTTGAAGGTTTTCTATGTGAATTCGAAGATGTTCTCGGCTGAAGTTGACTATTTTGTTTCGAGGGGATTAAAAAGCCGAATGAGAAAAATGAAAAAAAATTGTTCACCACTGTGTAGAGGAAATAATCCTTTGTCTCTTCATCGTACACAGACTTGATGGTGATTCCTTCCTCGGGGAAATCCTTCTCCAAGACCCAGTCTTTCCTCTCCAGGTTAAAGCGGAATTTCTCCAGCGCCCCCTCCCCTTCATGCTTGCATTTCTCGTTCCCGACCTGTGAACCAGTTAACAAGAGTAGAATGCATATACCTTGTAGATGTCTATTCGGCCGTCCGCTTGACCAAGCTCGAAGGAAAGGAAAACGTGATGAGCAGCATACCTCCAAGGAATGAAGGAACGTGAATGTGGAAGGTCGCGTAAGAAGCCGCACTAGCCTTGAAAGAACCACATTTTCTCGCGATCGTAATGTCAGGGAGGTCGAGATGATGACATAATAGGCTTCATTACGCTTAACCCATCATGCATCGAGTGGAGCCTACACCCTTCGGAAACTAGAGCTAACATGTAATGCAATCGAGATACTGGCTTCTAAAATAAGCTTCACAAGGTGGCGAAAAGGAACGGGTCGCGCCACAACCTCTTTGATCACCCTATCCTTTCGAAAAGATCCTGTAGGAACTGATGAGATTTTTGAAATTAAATATCTAATAGAATTCCTATAGGATACTAACGGAACTCTATGGGATTCCTATAAGAATCCCATAATATTTTTATATTTCATGAATCTCATCGGATCCTACAGGATCTTTTTGTAAGGGTACTCACTATGTTTCTTCTTCCTGCGTTAGCCTCGGCAAGTTGCCGAAGTTCTTTTAGACAGGTATGACATGATCATTGGAATGAATTCTTTTCATATCGATTGATATCGGAACTTTCAAATAACTTGGAGAATGTGCATACCCCTGACGTGGGACTGGCACGGCGTACAAACGTGGCGAATACACGCTAATTACGTTCATGCGGAGTTGCTTTGCTCAATGAGAGCAAATATATTGCCATTACACCTCCTACAGTGTTCGCGAGATCTACATTACCTTCCAACCTTTCTTTGGACGCTAGTATATGTAATATTTTCGGTGAAAATTGATCCGTTATGAACTTGTCGTGAGCAGAAATATGTGAGTTAATTGCTACCAGTTGACCGCAACTAGCGTCATTGCATAGTAATTCCAAACCATTCTACGATGATATCCACTGATGGGTACGTGATCATGAAATCTCAGAATCGGCATGTCTGAACGATATTTCCTCGATATCGCTGAGACGTTCAGCATGATCACGAGCACTTTCGCGCCAGAAGCACGATTAGTTTTTAATGGGATCCCACCCCTCCGAGACGGAAGATTTCCGCTCTTTTTCATTTCTTATTGAATGCCCGGTCGACTCCAATGCATTTGGCTTGCATTGGGGCGCATGCCTGGTATTTCACCGGTTTCTTCTCGCGTCGACTCTATACAGAACCCAATCAGTCGGAAGAGCTGGAGGAGGTCGAATGTCGACGGGCGTCTCACCTTCGTGACTGAGGAGATTCCCAACAGCAGATGATCTTGGAGGATAACGTCTTGGAGGAAGTGCATGGTCTCCAGAATGAACTCGAGGACAATTATCGTCTGCATCCCTCCGGTCGCCTCGCTTCCCCCGGCGGAGACCCCCTGGTAAAAGGGAATTTTCACTACCCTTACACTCTTAGAAAAAGGGTAGCGATTTTTCTCAAAAAAGAGAGCAAAATAGCTAACTCCAGTTTCACCCCTCTTTCACTCTGGGAAAGGAACAAATTTACTCCATCATGAAGGAGTAAAATTGCTCTCCTCCTCCGTGAGTAAAAACGCTTCCATCAGAAAGTGATAGGGATGTCGTGGAAATGCGAAAAATGTATTATATACTGTGTGTCGCTATCTCTCTCGTACGTGCGTTGACCTACCTCTGACTGTATTGATTACACCACACGTCAGAGGGTGGACTACCCCTTCTTGATTCCGTGGAGTAGTCCGGAATATCAGTCATCACCTCATTTAATTGAGGTATGAGAGAATGAAGTCCAAGGGCACTTTCTACGCATTCTAGATCTCCTATGCGGATGAAATCACCCGCGTTCCAAGGGGGGTTCTCAATAGAAATATGAGGTTGCTTATGGCATGGACTCTATGAATATGTATTGAATATGTGGATAACAAATGATGAAGTGTCCGTGTTTATTGATTCCTATAATGAGACTAGGCGAGACATATGGCAATGCACTAAAGAATCATGCGAGGGACGATTCCAGGGAAAGAGGGAAGTGCACTATTGTGTACTGTGCGAAAAGCGAGACCCTTAACTCCATCTAGTGGCCTGGCGAAGAACTTCAAGGTGTTCACTTCAATACGAGCGATGAGGGAGCATTTGGTGAGTAATAAGAGCGTAAATTCGAAAAGCTCACGGTGTGCTCTCTTTTCACTCCACAAACGCTCTGAATTTCCTTAGAGTGTAGAATCGAAAATTCCCCTTTGGAGACTTGCTGAATGCTGAATATAAAGTCTTTAAAATTTAGAAAAATATTTCCTCCCTTCATTCTCCCTCAAGGCTTTCATCCTTAGTCTCTCTTTTCCCACACTGGACCAAGCGGAATGCTTTTAACCATTAGAGAAAACGTTTTCCCGTTTTCTCTGAAAGTTAAGGTATCCACATCTCTGATTTTTGTTTAATGAAGAGCTCGTATCAGGAGTTGTTCTCCGTCTTGGCCGCTTATATGCAGGATATTGCATACAGCCAAGAAAACACGCGGAACTCCCCCTGACGGTATTGATGGAACCTCAAAGGATAAAAACTTGACTCCTGGCCTTTTCTAAAATAAGTCTTCCTTCCATCCCCAAGTCTCCGCCTTGGTATCTTTGTACTGAGCGGGCTGGGTAATGCCAGTCGTTCTTTCAATGCTCCCCAGTAAGGCTTCCAATATGACATGTTTCTATCCGAAAGGGGGAGAGATCAAAGTTTCGCTGCTCGTACGTTTCTTCTATCGAGAGATTGAACTAATGCAAAGTGCGGACAGCGAAGTGATTGAAATTTCTGACTTAGCAACCTGTTCCCTTACGGAAATGTCCTATAGGAAACCTATAAACTTTCCTATAGGTTTTTCAAGCACGAAAAACCTATAGGATCCTATAGGATCCCTATAGGGTCGCATAATACTCCTGACCTATAGGATTCGGGGAGGACTTATTGAGTTTCGAAACCCTGGCATTACGACGGGAATGGCAATCGGGGTCATTATTGGTGCCGCATTTTGTTGTAAATCAATTACCTATTAGGGTTTTTCCCATGGAGGGGGCACGTGCATGACAACTATTTGTACTACCTAGGTCTGCATAATTTATTGCCCAGGCCCACAAACGACGCTGGATTGCGCAGGATAGCACGTCCACTTCCTTTCATAGAGAGAAGTATCAACCATCTTTCGACATAAGGAAACGTCATACAGAGAGTCCGAGCTAGTTTCTTTAACGAAACTCCTTTCATATGAAGTCGACTTTTTCTCGTACGTGGTTTTCAAAGGGTATATGGGCATATTTCTGTCCTGGACTCCATGATTCTCTCTGGAAGATGGGGATGACAAATAAGGAAGTGTCGAAGTTTATTGATTGCTACAATGAGGCAAGTCGAGACATTTGGGGATGTGCAAAAGTAGTGATATTAGTAGTGATATATAGTAGTAGTAGTAGTGATATATATATATATATATATATATATATAATGTTCATATTTATAAAGTCCGTTCAATATCCTCCTCTGCAAAGGTTCGAATGCTGTTTAGAAAAATTGTGGCTTTGGGATCATGTCGTATGGTCCCCAAGGCCTTAAACTAACCAAGCCCGGGTTTTTCCAGCCCGGAGAAGGGTTAATGTTTGGAAGACATGGAGTTTTGAGGATCGTGTTGCCAGTGCCGTTTTAGGTTTTTCTTTCTCCCGTAACCGTGGCTTTCGCTCCTTTCTTCCCATTTGGATTGTCTTGAGAGCAGGGTTTCCTAACAAAACGCCCACTCATATCCACCGAATCAAACAAATATGTGGATAAGGATGGATGGAACCAGGTCCCTCCCGGGGAAATCCACGTATCCATTCGTGTCTATGTATTTCAAGCCAGGTGGATTTTCCTCATCGTGGAAATCGTTCCAACAAGTGGACAGAACGCCAAAGGTTATATCCGAGTGGTTAAAAATTTATTAGTTGTGGTGGACGCTTTGCAAGGGCTTGTTCAGGACTTTCTTTGCTGTCGTTCCTCCGCGAAGCAAAGTAGGTCGAACGGAAACTATGCAGTGATCCTCTTCGAGGAGGAATGACCTTCAGCAGGAATTGAACTTCGATTTATTGAAGGTTGCAGTTTCACTCCTCTCAGAGAAATTACAATATTTTCTCCTGCGAGGCAGGGGCAGGACTAAGAGTGAACTGTCCCTGGATGAACTCAAGCAGGACAAAATTGTACGGGTATTTCCAAAGGACCTCGTTCGTTTGACTTTCTTTATGACCCTGTGTATACCCATGAGGGAATTCTAGCCAAAAAAACTTTCTTAAATACGCAGCGAGGAACTAAAAAAAATTATTTGCTCGAACTGAAATCCCGTTTGCAAGAGATTAAAAAGTTACTCGAGCAAAATAAAAATAAAACTTTCACCACTGTATATAGGAAATAATCCTCCGTCTCCGGAGGATTATTTCCATACAGACATGATGGTGATTCTTCCTCTGGGTAACTCTTCTCCAGAACCCAGTTATTCCTCTCCAGGTTGAAGCGGGACTTCTCCAGCGCCCCTTTCCCTACACCCCTGAATTTCTCCTCCATGAGCTGCGGGATATATCGGTTAGCGAGTGTAAATTGCGCATACTTCCTGGATTTCTATTCGACTGTCCGCTCGACGAGTATCGGGGTGAAATATTAACGTGATTAGTAGGGCGTCTCTGAGGAATGAAGGGACATAAGAGTGGAGAGTTAAGTCAATACCGGGTGAGCCTTGAAAAATAACAGCAATATCTCTCTTTTGAAATGTCAAGGAAATGAAATATTGCGTGAATCCCCGGTCATCCCCAACACGTTACTACCTAATACGATCGAACAACTATACTGGCGTCCAAAAGAAACGTTATATTGTAGTGAAACGTAACAGGTCGCGACACACCATGTTTGAACACCCCAATCGCAATGTCCCATCTTCCTACGATTGCCTGGACATATCTCTCACGTTTTTTTGGAGAGAGATATCCACACCAGAATGAACTCGCTTTATACCGATTGAAATCGGTACTTTACATCAGACGGGAGAAATCATTATTTGCATATTCCTGACCTGGGACGTGCTGGGCACTCAAAGGTGGCGAAAACACGCATATAATGTTCAGGCGGGATTTGACTCGTTCATC